CGTGTGACTAAGCGTGCCGCAAGCCTGACCAGCCCGATCACCTGTGCGAATGACGTACTGGCAGCGAACGGTACTCCGAGACCCTCTACTCTGAGCGTACCACTCATGAAGCTGCTGGGGCGTAAGTGTCTCTCGCGGACGCCGCTGCAGCTGCAGCTGGCCACTGCCAGACGCTCCCGACTGACCAGCTCCAGGGCGACAGCCATGACGACTACCGCCACAACCCCAACTAGCGTACCACTCACGAAGCTGCTGAGGCGTGAGAGACTCGCGCGGACGTCGCTGGAGCTGCATATGGCCACCGCCAGTAGCAGCAGGAGCAGTAGTAGCAGCAGCAGCGAGGGCAGGGCAGGCGCGGCAGGCAGGCAGGCAGGCAGACAGAGGGCGCAGAAGTGCGCGAACAAGGCAGGTGCTCACCAGTGGTGGGGAGGGCCGGCGCTCGGCGGGCGGCGGCAGGGTAGGCGCACGACGGCGGCGCCGCAGTGGCGGCTGCAGAGTTGGGCCGTGGCAGCTGCAGGGTGGGGCCGCGTCAGCGGCAGGTCGGGGCCGCGTCAGCTGCAGGGCTGGCAGGGCCGCGTCGGCGTTCGGGCGGGGCCGCGTCGGCAGCAGGGCGCAGCCGCGGCAGAGGCAGGGCGGGGCCGCGTCGGCTGCAGGGCGCGGCCGCGTTGGCTGCAGGGCGCGGCCGCGTCAGAGGAAGGGCGCGGCCGCGTCAGCTGCAGGGCGCGGCCGCGTCGCCTGCAGGGCGGGGCCGCGTCGGCGTCCGGGCGGGGCCGCGTCGGCTGCAGGGCGCGGCCGCGTCGGCAACAGGGCGCAGCCGCGGCAGAGGCAGGGCGGGGCCGCGTCGGCTGTAGGGCGCGGCCGCGTCAGAGGCAGGGCACGGCCGCGTCAGCTGCAGGGCGCGGCCGCGTCAGCTGCAGGGCGGGGCCGCGTCAGAAGCGGGGCGGGGCCGCTTCGACTACAGGGCACGGCCGCGTCGACTTCAGGGCGGGGCAGCGTCGACTGCAGGGCGCGGCCGCGTCGTAGGCAGGGCGCGGCCGCGTCAGAGGCTGGGCGCGGCCGCGTGAGAGGCAGGGCGGGGCCGCGTTCTGGCCTGACGGGCCTGCAGGGGCGGCTGGCGGGCCTGACAGGCCTGCAGGGGCGGCTCGCGGGCCTGACGGGCCTGCAGGGGCGGCTCGCGTGCTTGACGGGCCTGCAGGGGCGGCTCGCGTGCTTGACGGGCCTGCAGGGGCGGCTCGCGGGCCTGACGGGCCTGCAGGGGCGGCTCGCGGGCCTGACGGGCCTGCAGGGGCGGCTCGCGGGCCTGACGGGCCTGCAGGGGCGGCTCGCGGGCCTGACGGGCCTGCAGGGGCGGCTCGTGGGCCTGACGGGCCTGTAGGGGCGGCGGGGGCGCCGTACGAGCCTGCAGGGGCGGTGCGCTGGCCGTACGGGCCTGCAGTGGCGGCACGCTGGCCTAGGGCAGCAGGAGGCAGCGCGAGGGCTGCAGGACGGCGCGCGCTGCGCAGCACAACACAAGGCAGGGCAGGACAACACGTGGGGTAGCGCGGTAACCGCAACGGTAGGTGGGCCCGAAAAAAAAAACCGGTCCTACGGACCTAGTGCCCTGAAACCATGTCAAAATCAAGTAGCAGGAATGATTGCATTGAGCAGCATGAGGAGTACAAGTAGGAAACCCTAAAGTGTTGTACCCCATATGAGCTACCTTACTACAGCCTACACAGACTATAGCATATAGGTTTGACACGACGGATCTTCAGTGTTAATAAATTTCGCGCAAACATAAAAAAAAAAAAAAAAAAAAATTGCCGGCGAATCTCAACCTAGCTGAGTCATGAAAGTAAAACGAGGGAAACGTGAAATTTTTCGCGCCTTGGTAATGATACGAATTGTTAGAGGTGTTAGACAGCTAGCGGTAGAAACAACCTATAGAATATATAAAATGTATGCCCTGAATAATGAAAATGCATACTCAGCCAATCAAACACTCCTTCACGCTGCTACCAGCTTGACGCTTGTCATTGAAAGACTCTCTTCCTACGCCGTGACAAGGGATTCTACTGCTGTTACTCTACGGTACTGAATTATCTCTTTCAAAATTCTCGGACCCTTGGTTAGGGGCTGATTTCGGCTAGGCACCCAAGGACCCTCGGAGGTGATCCCGGGAAGAGTCGTCATTTTATCTTTGAAACCTCTGCTCTAAAATATAAATTACATAAGAAACATGGATCCGCTTTGAAATGGATCAACCCTAAACGTGACAGCGTGTGGTGTTTAAAGATTATCCATCCTTGAACCCCAGTTGGCGCGGGCGGAAATCTTGTCGGCTATCATGTATTTTCGAATTGGACTATTGAGCGTGATCTTCCGCCACTTTTGGTGAGTGAGTACATGAAATTACTGAGCAAAGGTACGAGAACATTTATTTTAGTGCCACAATTTTTTAGATACCCTTGTGGATAAGCATTTGCATTATTTCTAATTTCTTGCAATTCGGTGTACGAACTAGACAACAACGCTATCTGTGCATTCAATTTTTTCACATGCATTCCATTTTTGCATGTGCGATTTCGCAAATGATTGTTTTCTCTTCAATTGGAGGAAAGATGTCGACCTGTCGTACAACGTCGATAGACAATCGGACACCGTGCGTTTACTCGTGTCTACGGTTGATTCTTACCTAATCTCATGTCCCTCCGGATGATTTGTATTTTCTGACCGCGGGCAGATAATTAACTGTTTTGCGATGGCTGTTCGTGAGCTTTCAAGTGCAGACTCCCGAGAGAACGCAATCGCAAACCGCACAGGCGAAAACTGAATTCAGGTAATATTGGCCCCATTGGTTTCGTCCGTCGCTACCACACAATCCGCGCTGCGTTGGTCTGTCTGGCTGGGATATGCTGAACAGCAAGACGGAAACATGAGGACAGCATGGGACGAGGGGTGCAAGCATGGAGGGAGAGAGGGGGGGTGGTTGGGCGGGGTAGTGCTGATTTGGTTTTCCAGCTGGCGGACAACAGAAATGCGATTCTGTTTGTTGTACTTGGAAGTCATTTCTACTGCTTTTTTCGTCGAGCTTCGCTAGCGTGAATGTCTGCTCGAGGGAATGGCGTTTCGCCTCTGTTCACATCCACACGTACGATTCGTGGGTAACCGCTCAACATTTTCGTACCCCCGCAATTTCGTGGGTAATGGGCTTTCGCGCTCCGAACTGTGGTAACTGACATTAGGGGACTAGTTCTGTCCGAGCATTGGGGCAGGTCCAGGGAGTTCGTCCATCGTTTGTTCTGTGCGGTTATATTAGTTGCGTCACGGCTCAAAACGGTGAATCTAGAAAGCCGCTGTGCACCGTGCACGCAACGACGGATGAATTGCACGCTGCTTACACAGGCAGTGCAATATATATTCCAACACGGAACACACAGTTGCCTGGAAGAGGCAGGTTACGAGCAATCTTGCACACACACAACCACACACACACACCCATTCCCCCCGCAACTTACAGCAATGCCGTTAGTTTATCACTCAACAGAACCAGCTACCCAGCGCATCCATTTTCCGAACGTTTGCTGAAACCCTCTTCAATGGCCTCCCAAACTGCGGTTGTTCTTAGTCCGGTACTCTCACCGCCCGATCTCTCTCCTGATGTAGACTGGCCACTCACCAACACCCCCGCAATCCGCGCTCGCCGCTGCCTGCGAACTCAATGCCCTGGCGAAACCCGCTCGCTAGACCGAGAGCGCGCTTCGAACACCACAGCCGCCCTCGGGCTAAGCCCAAGGGATCCAACTCGCGTGAGGACATGTTCTCCTAGCACTTCCCCCCAATCCGCGGAAATATCATGGGCGGAAGCTGTCGCGGCCGGAAGGCGTAAACACGGCGAGCACCCGGCGGTGCTGTCCCCCTTGGGATGCGGTTCCTCCTCCGCGCTACATTCCCCGTGCGGCGGCGGAAGCCCCGCATGGCGCCCGGCCGCGCTGGCGGCGGTGCGCAGCCCGCTCGCGCCCGTCGTGCGGCACAGGGCGACCGCGTCGGTCGACATGGATGAGCTATGGGCGGAGGAAGCTTCCGACGAAACCGGCGGCGCGGCGCGCCGACCACGGAGAAGGAACATCATCCGACGCGCACGAAACAAGTCCTCCGACTCGCTACGCAGCGCGCTGGGAGAGGAGAAGCCGGGGAGCGTAGACGGCGGCGACTGCCGCGCCGCGATCGGCGGGCCCCCCAAGCCGCCGTGGGAGGGTGAGGCTCCGGTCTCCGCCGAGTCGCTGCAGGAGAGCGACGTCTCCGCCTCCGCCGCGCGGCCGTCGATTATCAGCCGACGTCCCGCCGCGACGGCGATCCGCAAATTACGCATTTTCTCCAACCGCGGACGGGATTCGACCTCCGCTGCCGCATTCGCTGCGCCTGCGGGTTCCACCGCATCTTCCCCTGGGACTGACGCGGCGACGGCGTCCGCCGCAGCGGAAAACGGTGCGGCGCCGCCCGTCGAAGTACTCGAGGGCGTTTCTGCGCCGAGTCGTACCCGCGCCGGCGGAGGCAGATTGCCGGCGGGATCCGCCGGCGCCTGCGGGACGATTCCGAAGTCTCCTCCGCTGGGGAGGAGACAGGCGGGAGTGGCGGCGACGCGGCGGAGAAGCTTCAGCGGATCATCAGCGGAGCCTGTGACGGTTGTTCCGCTTGTGCGACGAGAGCAGGGGGGCAAGCAGCGGCAGGCGCAACAGCCGTCGCAGGAGTCGTCGCCGCCGTCGCACATCAAGCGCAGTCTTAGCAGCAGCGGCGCTGAGGGGCGGCAGGAAGCCGCCGGGCCGCAGGATATAGCCGACGTGCTCCGCGCGCCGGCGCAGCCGGGGCGTTCGGGCCACTCGGAAGAGGCTGGCGAATCGAAACGCAGTGGCGAAACGGATCGCGAAAACGAAACGCAATCTCGAGGTCAGCAGAGGGCCGCGTCGTATCACGAGGAGCTGGCTCTGGATTTGATGGATTATTTCGGCGACATCGCGCAGTCCTGGAGCGTTGATAGCACGAGCCGCGAATGCGACTCGGTTCTAGGAGCGGATGCTGTTGGTGCTTTAGGTGGATCGTCGTTCGGGGGGCCGGAACGGGGAGAAGGGGGAGGGGAGAGACGAGCGGAGCGAATGGAAGTGGGTGGACGAGTTGGCAGAATGGAGGGGGAAGAACGAGTGGATTCTTGCCGCATGTGCAGTTTAAGTAGCGGCGTTGGGGTTTTGGAAGGAGATAAATGACTTGTACACAAGCAGATGCCGGGGAGGAATGGAGGAGAAACGTTTGAGCCGAACCAAAAGTAGCATCGGGGGAGTTGTGGCGCACGTGCAGTTTAGGCAGTGGTGTGGGGGTTTGGAAGGAGCTCAATGACTTGTACACAAGCAGTTGTGGGGGAGGAATGGAGGAAAGGGAAGGACGTTAGGACCAGGAGGGGCCGCAGCAGCAAAGCTACCAGTCTTGTCTGTTTGTGAACCAGCACGGACGCAGCCTATCAAAAAGCGAAGGAGCAGGTGAAGGTGAGGGCGAGGAGCGGGACGAGGCAGGGGTGCGGAGTGGAGTTTAGGAGGGGTTAGGAGTATGAATGAGGGACGAGGAGTGGGAATTCAGATGCTGTTCAAGGACCAGATTACGTGACTTTGATTGGACTAACTCTGTAACTAATTACTACCACATTGTAATCATCACCTGCATGCTGGTGTTTTCCACCAAAGTATCTGGCCTTCATCATGCACCCAACGCCCTCCCTTCCCTCCATCCTTCCTGCATTCTCCCTCCATCTTCCCTAACTATTACGGGTGCAATGAATCGAAGTAGCTAGAATTGCACTAAGGTGTCAAACGAGTACAAAATGTGAGCTAAGGCACGAGCGAACATTTATACGCGAATTGTGAAAGCTTGCTTATTGCAACTTGTAATAGGCATCGTGCTTCATTTCATCTGGGTTAGGCCAAATGGCCTCCAACCCCTCTTTTGTAGCCAAAAGAGGGCGAGTAGCGATGCGACGCAGCCTTTGTTGCGTTGGCAATCGCTTCACTATCACAATACAAAATTTTAGAAAGTGAATACACTTTAAAAAATTATCATACCATGCAAACGGTAACGCGGTGCGTGCAAGCTAGCTGGTGCTATGCTGGCAGCGAGGCTCGGGCTGTCAAATGTTGAACATTGATATGATAGGCTATAATGAGTTGCCCTCTAGGGGGTACAGCTTCTAGGGTTGCTCATTTGTACCCCATTCGTTTCTATTCCAATCATTCCGTTGTTCGCTAACTTTGAGATGGTATCATGAGTAGGTGTCGATCCTCTCGCATAGCCTAGCCTAGCTCGCGCCCTAGCGCCCTCCGCGCCTTTGCGCCCTAGCACACTCCGCGCCCTCCGCGCCCTCCGCGCCCTTGCGCCCTAGCACCCTCCGCGCCCTCCGCGCCCTCCGCGCCCTCCGCGCCCTCCGCGCCCTCCGCGCCTTAGCCACCGCGCCCTCCGCGCCATTTCCGCGCCTTAGCGCCCTCCTCCTCCGCGCGTTAGCGCCCTCCGCGCCCCTAGCCTGCGCCCCTAGCCCGTCGCCCAGGCCCACGCCCTAGCCCGTCGCCCAGGCGCCCGCCCTAGCCCGTCGCCCAGGCGCCCGCCCTAGCCCGTCGCCCAGGCGCCCGCCCTAGCCCGTCGCCCAGGCGCCCGCCCTAGCCCGTCGCCAAGGCGCCCGCCCTAGCCCGTCGCCCAGGCGCCCACCCCAGCCCGTCGCCTAGGCGCCCGCCCCAGCCCGTCGCCCAGGCGCCCGCCCTAGCCCGTCGCCCAGGCGCCCGCCCTAGCCCGTCGCCCAGGCGCCCACCCCAGCCCGTCCCCCAGGCGCCCGACCCAGCCCGTCGCCCAGGCGCCCGCCCTAGCCCGTCGCCCAGGCGCCCGCCCTAGCCCGTCGCCCAGGCCTGCGCCCTAGCCCGTCGCCCAGGCCTGCGCCCTAGCCCGTCGCCCAGGCGCCCGTCCTAGCCCGTCGCCCAGGCCTGCGCCCTAGCCCGTCGCCCAGGCGCCCGTCCTAGCCCGTCGCCCAGGCGCCCGTCCTAGCCCGTCGCCCAGGCGCCCTCCCTGGCTCGTCACCCCAGCCCCGCAGGCAGCGCGCCACGCGGGTAGCGCGCCCCGCGGGTAGCGCGCCCCGCAGGAGGCGCGCCCCGCGGGTAGCGCGCCCCGCAGGCAGCACACCCTGCAGGCGGCGCGCCCCGGGGTGCTTTAGTGCCAGAAAATAAATAAATAAATTAAACCCTAAAAAAAAAAAAAAAACAAAAAAAAAAAGGGGTTCACAGTGGGGGCCTGCTACTGTCGCCCGCGTTCCTGCTTGCCGGACGACCTGCACAGTTGCCTACATCCCGCAGCCGTCAGTACTGCAGCCCCTACTGTCGCACGTACTTTCCACTGCCAGTGGCTCTACTAGCGGCAGCCGACAGCCGCACTTACGGTCTCTAGCCCCGGCCGTTCCTACCTCCAGCCAGCCCTAGCTCGCCGCTTCTAGCTCCAGCCGTTCTCGCTCCAGCCGTTCTCGCTCCTCGCTCGTAGCTCAGTTTGCTCCGTGCTCCGGCCGTTCCTCGCCTAGTTTCACCTGGCGCTCCTAGCTTAGTTCGCTCCGTGCTCCAGCAGTTACTCGCCTGGTTTCACCTGGCGCTCCTAGCTTAGTTCGCTCCGTGCTCCAGCAGTTACTCGCCTGGTTTCACCTTGCGCTCCTAGTTGTTCTCGTTTTTCACAGCAGCCTGTCGCTCCTGTCGCTCCTAGCCTGCCGCTCCTGCACCCCGCTAGCTTTTATCATGGAGTCCGCTAGGGTTCTCCAGCAGCAGGGACAGCAGCAGCGGCCTTTTCAGCAGTGGCTTCGGCAGCGGCAGGGGCGCCCTCAGCAGCCATGGGGGCCTGGTGGTTCAGGTCGCGTTGGCTGCAGCAGCGGCCCAGCCAGCTGGGGGGCTCGTCGCGGTGGCCGCGACGTCGGCCCCTGCCAGTACCGGATCCTGACCGGCCCTGGTGCTGGCACTACCTGCTGGCGTCCTGACCACTCTGCACAGCGCTGCTACAGCCGCCTCGACGACCTTTACCGTGAGCGTTTTGGGCCTGAGTCGGCTCCCCCGATCTGGCCCAGTCTGTTTCGTAGTGGTTTCCCTGTATTTGATATGTCTATGGATGCTGTTTATTCTGTCACGTACGGATCTCTTGGCTTACGTGTACCTAGCTTAGGACCTTTGCCTGTTGCTAGTGTCGGTACTTGTGCTTTTAGTGTAGGTGCTTGTGTAGTCACTAGCCCAGCCGTGACGACTGCTGTTGCGTCGCTCTCCTTCACGCTGGACTCCGGCGCGTCTCAGTGTTTCTTCCGCGACCACACCACTGTCACACCTCTTTCGGCTCCAGTCCCAGTTGCCCTGGCTGATCCTACTTCAGGACCAGCAGTTGCTCGTAGCTCGACCACCCTCCCGTGCCCGGCTGTCCCCTCTGGTTTCCTCACTGGTCTCTACATCCCCTCGTTCTCTCGGAACTTGGTGGGTGTTGGATACCTTCAGGACCGGGGGATCACAGTCACTTTTCCTGCGCACGGGAGGACTGCGATCTGTACGGACTCTTCCACCGGGGCAGTTCTTGCCACGTTCACCAGAGAGCCCCACTCAGGTCTCTTCGTCCTGCACACTCCGCCCCCGCAGGTAGCTGCGTCTGGTCAGGTTGCTTCGTCCCCCCCGGTAGCAGAGTCCGGTCAGGTGGCTGTGTCCAGTCCGGTCGCTGTGTCCAGTCCAGTCGCTGCGTCTTGCTCCTGTCGCTCTCTCGCCCACCGCACCGTCCTGTGGCACCACCGTCTTGGCCACCCGTCGATCCCTCGCCTTCGTGGCATGCTCAGTCAGGGACTAGTCACAGGTCTCCCACGCACCTTCCCATCGCTCCCTCCCTCGCTTGCCCCTCCTTGCTCTCCGTGCGTCGCCGGTCGCTTACGTGCCACTCCCCACTCCTCCTCCCTTCGTCCGGCCACCGCTCCCTTCGAGACTCTCCACTTGGACGTCTGGGGCCCTGCCCCGACGCAGGGGTCTGGGAGGGAGCGCTACTTTCTGGTGGTCGTCGACGACTTCTCCAGGTACACCACAGTGTTTCCTCTTGCGAAGAAGTCCGAGGTGACTGCTACGCTGATCAGGTGGCTTCTAGCCACTGAGGGCACTCGTGGTCGTCGAGTCAGTTGTCTTCACTCCGACCGTGGGGGCGAGTTTCGCTCCGGCATTCTCGGCGGATTCTGCGGCGAACAGGGCATCACCCAGTCCTGGACGCTGCCAGAGTCCCCACAGCAGAATGGGGTTGCTGAGCGCCGCATAGGCTTGGTCATGGACATCGCCCGCACGTCCATGATTCATGCCCGTGCGCCCCATTTTCTGTGGCCTCACGCGGTTCGCTACGCCGCACACCAGCTGAACCTCCAGCCGCGTGTCTCGCGGCCCGAGGCTTCACCGACCAGTCTCTGGACTGGATCCCCTGGTGTTGGGTCGGCCTTTCGAGTCTGGGGCTGCCTTGCACTTGTTCGCGACACCTCCGCGGACAAGCTCTCGGCACGCGCCGTCCCCTGTGTCTTCCTTGGTTTCCCAGTGGACTCTGCTGACTGGTCCTTTTACCACCCTCCCCTCCACCAGTTCCTAGATTCCCGTGACGTCCGGTTTGACGAGTCCGTGTCCTACTACACCCGGTACCCCTGTCGAGGTCTCCCGGTACCCCCTCCCCCTCTCTTCCTCGCACCCTCTCCTCCTCCTGCTCCCGCTCCTCCGGTACCCCCGCCCCCCCCTGGTCCTGCCCCGTCTGGTGTGTCCCACGCTACCCCTCTCCCCTCGGTCGTGCGTCAGGTAGCGTCTCCCTCCCCGCAGTCCTCCTCACAGTCCCCTCAGCAGCCTTCGGCACTTCCGCGACAGGTTACTGTGGACTCGGTTGGTGTTGGAGCTGGAGGTGCAGCCGCTGGCGGTGCTCGGTCGCGGGGTACTGGAGCTGGAGGTGCTGGCGCAGGTGACGCTAGCTCTGGGGGTGCTGGAGCTGGAGGTGCTGGCGCAGGTGGCGCTAGCTCTGGGGGTGCTGGAGCTGGAGGTGCCGGCACTGGAGGTGCTGGTTCTGGGGGTGCTGGAGTTGGGGGTGCTGGCACTAGCGGTGCTAGTTCTGGGGGTGCTGGAGTTGGAGGTCCTAGCACTGGCGGTACTGGTTCTGGGGGTGCTGAGTCTGAGGAGACTGACGCTGGAGACCCTGGTTCTGCGGAGTCCAC